GGATCTCAAGACTTATCCACCACGTATCCGTGAAAAGTTGGTGAGTCTCTCCATACACTTTGAAGTTTCTCCTGTAAACAAGTCCTTTGTCCGTTCAGTCAAATAATGCATACAGTGATATACATATACTGTACATGTACCTGTGTACAGTACAACACAGAACAGTTTCAAGTAATTCGGTTTTTGTGTGGAGTTTTTTATTCCATGTACATGTAGCTACAGATGCTTGTAATAAATAGTGTGCCATGTGAGGTTTTTATTGGTTGAAAATACACGATATTCCAGCATTTAATCAGTTTATCAGTTTCTGTATGTGTTGATCTCAAACCAAGAAACATTAAACATAGTTCACTTTAATTAAATTATCCTCTAGACAGAACAGCTCTATACATTAAAAACCCTTGATGTTTTCTCAGCATCTCTGTCTGATGTCCACAAATTAATTTTTCTAAGCTTAGTTTCTAATTTCATACTGGTACTGTAGCAAAGAATATTGAAACATGTAATCTACATGTACATGTACATGTATGTACATTTGGAAACACATGTACATGTATATGTAGAACCTACTTGTATTTGGTTTCTTGAGTGTGGGACAGAAAATAAAAGTCATAAATGCTGCAGTGATTAACCTGCCAAACCTAATTATGTGGCTAGAATATGCATGTAGATTTTTTTCAAAACAAATCTACTCTAACATACCGGTGAGAAAAAGGAAGCCTTGACATATTTTTGCTGCGAGCCATACGCATGACTTCAGAAAAACTGTTCTTGTGTTTTTGTTTTCCTTCTGACATCTTTTTTTTTTAAATTTAGGCCTGCTATGGTACTTTCTTAGATCTACTTATTTCTGACACGGGGGTGGAAATTAACCTTTTTTCCCTGGTAGCCAGCAGGAGCAGTACTTCAAAATTTCCACTGGTCCTGCTGAAAGTTCAATTCTGTAAACTGTAGCTGCAAATGTCTAGATTTGTTGTGATACAGTGTACATGTACCTGGTAGGCAGAGGTCAAATAAGAAATCACTGTCTTCCTCCTCTTCTGTGACTTTTGTGTTAGGGATGAGTCAGTTCGAATAATTCACTATTTGAATATTTGACCTTCAATTCGATCGAATATCCGAATATTCGCTCGTACCGACTGGCAGATTGTTGATGAACAATCCATACAAAATCAGTTGTAATAACACACAAAATTGTACATTTAAATCACTGTAATACATGTACATGTAGCTTCTCACGTCTGGGAGTACAATCCAGCCAGGATTTAGCAAGATTTAGAGACGAGCAATACTTCTTGTCCTTTAAATTTTGTAATGCATAAATTAATTTTTGAATCGTTGTAAGATTTCTGTCACTTTTCATTTTAATCTGCTTGAGACAAGCCTCCACAGTGCAATTTTTTGCGTTTAAAACCAAAAAATTCTCCCTTCGTTTCCATGAATTTTGCATTTGAATATTTGAATTCGGAAAATAATATTTGAATATTTGATATTCGATCGAATATCTGGATATTCGGCACAGCCCTATTCTGTATCCTTTCCAGGGTGCTGTTACGGTTGTGAGAGGATTGAATCCAATTTAAACTTGGTTGAGCCCACGACGAATGATGACTGTTGATCAGCCACTAACTTTGCACACGCAGCCGCATTGAGCAATCCTTGTTGGGGGGCCTACCGGTACGTGTACATGTACATGCACATGTTAATATACCGGATACCTTCTTGCTGTCAAGACGAGGGGCATTTACAAAACGAGTGGATAAAGCTTAGACTTCTGTTTCACTGGTTCCAGTCAGGTCTGGAACATGGTTTCGAACACTGTTTTCAAAATGGCTGGGACCAGTGAAACCAAAGTCATGAGCATTTTCGAAACAAGTGGATTTGGCTTAAACT